TGGCCATGTCAACACTTTAGTGAAACTAAAGTAGTTTGCCACTTTCTGACACGACAGATGAAGCTGTGCAGAGACAGAGCGTGGAGGTCCCTGTTAGCACAGAATCATGTTTTCCTTACTGCTTACCTCTTTCTCTGAGCATGAATATCCAGACTGAAGGAATATGCTGCCCAGTCAAGCTTCATGGTATCCTCTTCGTTGACATTGTATTATGCTGAGAACTGGCTATTACTTACCTCCAGTTTCTGGTTCACTCAGGAAGATGGAGCCCATGGCTCCCAAAGACCCTCAGACTCACAGTTACTTTGTCTTGCTAATGAATTTAGCTGAGTGAAGCAGTGGCAATCCCTAAGTGAAAGCAGTTTTACTTGCACTGTTGGATTGCCCAACTAAGCTAAAGCCAAAGTACAATAGGATTAAACTACTTTTAATGTATCTATTCAGGGCTGCACAACAGCCGGAGGACACAAATCCAATACTGATTTCCACAGAAAGCATTGCATAGAGGAAAAGAACTTTTACACTCTTATTAACTTCTTTTGACTGTGAAAATTGTTTTAGTGATCAAGGAACTTAGGTTCACTATGTTTGTTATTCACAAAGGTACAGCTTCTTTCAGATATTCCTTATTAACCTAATCTCATTATGTGCTGTCTCTAAAGTGATGTTCTACAACCTAGTACTTAGCTACTATGGCCTGGTCAGGAACCCTCGTGCCCCAGGTGTGATGATCAGGCCACAGAGAAGCCATGACTTCATATGGAGAAGATAGGCAGTAGCTCAGTCTGGGCTTGTACCTGCGCTTCACCAAGACTTAGGGTGGAGCACTGGCATCGAACTAAAGACATTATGGCCCATCTAGTCACCCTAAATCCATCCTTACAAACCAGGGGATCCTAACGTAGACACCTAAAATAAGCCAGATGAATTATTCTGCATAGAGCATAAAGGGCACCTACACCTTTGGTGTCAAAATGCATCTACTTGAGTTCACTGCCTGACTACACAGCACCGAACTCCTGTGCAGGGCCACATCTCCCCCTCCTCTTCTTCTTTTCCCCTGCTCTGAGGTCAATTTGCAGTGATCTTCCATCTCAGCTGATCTCTTGCTGTCTGACTTTTTGAAATTATTCTCCTCAGCAAATCATTCAGCTCCTGTGGAGCGCATACAACACAATCAGGATAATTACTCCACGTCACACCTCAGTTGTCACTTCACTTTAATGGACTGCAAGTAAGATGAACTTGAAAAGTGCTCCAAGTTAATGTTCTTAGAGTTTCTATTTTAGACTCTTCTGAAAGATGTTAAATATATTCAGAAAAAGAGATTTCATCCTAGAAATCATTACCTATATTACAGCAGAGTGAATAGGGCCAACAGGGTTCAGAGCTCTATGATTAAGGCACTGTTAAAGATCATTCAACATAGACAGGGAAAGGCTGGGACAGGAATGATGGGACTGGTCTAATAAATGTGTTTATGATGTAGAAATTTATATATGAAGTAGTCACCCTGACTATGAAGTAGCATCTTGTGCTTATGGACCATAGAGGTTAGCATACCAGTCACCCTTCCTTGAATTAGAGACTTTGGTTGGTGAGATGAATTGACTGAAAATGAACGAATGAATGAAAATGAAAGAAAAATAAAAAATGAAGAAGGCTATTTCCTTCTGTCACCTTACAGGAAGGTGAGATGCACAAGGATAAGATAAGTGGGGAGATGCCCCGCTGATAAGCCTGTGTCACAGCTACTAGCTCTGCCTCCCATGCCGGTCCGTCCAGTACTTCAGCATGTCTGACTTCTTTTAAAAGGAAGTTATTTTACATCAGCATTTGATGAATAACAGTGAATTCAACCTCAGAGCAGTGCAATCTCCCATTTTAGGTCACTGCCTCTGCTCACATCCCTCAGCCTTCCTTCGTACCTTTCTCCACGCTGTACCATGTACACGCACATCCTGAGTATCTCAAATCTTGTCTCTTATTTTTCCATTCCAATGCCTCAGAGAACACCACTGCCTCTCTTTTGGATCCATCTTTGAAACCCTTCCTGAGAGTGTAACAACTCTGCATTTTGGAAAAGTTAAACCAATTCATTTAAAATCCATCTGGACTCAGGAGGCCCTTTTGGTCCCCAGCCTTAGGACAGTCCCCGCTGCAGCAGGCCACCCAGCTCCGCTCCTTCCTCTTCTGCAGGTGCATGTTGTCCAAGGTGAAGCATCAGTTTTAGAGAGGCAGTTCAAGCTGAGGGACAGGTACTGAACGGTTTTACTTTGTTAAAGCTCCACGCATAATACGAGAGTGATTTTCTTCCTCACAAAGGAGATCAAAGCTAAACAAAATGAACTAATGCTCCTGCGGGTTTGGGAGTCACACAAGCAGCACTGTGCTTAGAACTCAGTCGGATTATTTTTGCTCTAAAAGTCTCTCAAAACATCTAATAAAGTAATTTAGAAGATGAAAGTCGTTCTGTTTCTAACACATATATCTTTTCCCCAGCACACCCAGCATTTCTTCCTCCAAGGGCAGTGGTGGGATGTGAGCCTCTGGGCTAATTCAGCTTTGCTTCCCTGTGCTGCAGAAAACAGACAGCGGCTCACATTCAGTCCTTGATGGGCCCTCTCTTTTTTTCACAGACACCATAAAAGACTTTCATCTGCATTTCTACACTTAAGAGCTAATGCTTTCATTATGGTATCTCCATTAACCAGATGGCTCCATCTATCAGTCTGCACAGGCCGTGAGACCCTAACACTCCTCGTCACTGTTAATTGGCTCTGGCTGCAGAGTGAGGGTGACACAGACACTTGATACAGGGTGGAAGAGGCAAACTAAAACTTACACGTGTGTCTCAAAACCCAGGCACATTCAGATCCTCGAGGAGAAGCTGATCCTCTCTCTCTTTTTAAAACGCTGATTGTCTTCTCCAGCCCGTATGTGCATTTTTCCAGCTTCTGGCTGTGAGGTGGCCATGACCCCAGCTCCCCTAGCCCACTGCCACGGCTTTCAGCCTGTGGACTAGACTTTGGCCATTCTCTTCTTCTGGACTAATCCAATCTCCTTATGTTGCAACATCTTCACGTGATGCTTTTGCCTAACTGTATTTTGAGGCAGGAGGAAAACTTAAGCTGGTCTTGGACGATCTTGTTGCTCCTGAGAAAACTTCTAGGCAGGAGGAAAACTTAAGCTGGTCTTGGATGATCTTGTTGCTCCTGAGAAAACTTCTGGGCCTCAAGTTGCACCAGGGGAGGTTTAGATTGGATATTAGGAAAAATTTCTTCACGGAAACAGTGAAAGGGTTATCCAGCATTGGAATGGGCTGCCCAGGGAAGTGGTTGAGGCACCATCCCTGGAGGTGTTCAAAAGATGCGTTGACATGGTCCTCAAGAAAATGATTTAGTGGTGGGTTTTTTTTATTGCTTATTTCTTATTTTTCTTTTGTCAGAGTTAGGTTGACGGTTGGACTAGATGATCTTTAAGGTTCCTTCCAACCTAGAGGATTCTATGATTCTTAAGGCCTTCTAGCACCAGGGACCATGTGTTTCCCATAGCAGAAGTGCCATCTTCAGGGAAGACACTCTGCTCCGGGAGGATGGTTTGTGGGTGGTGTGATCCAGAGGCACTACAACTGCCTGACAGGCATCACCTCAGTGCATCACCTCTTCCCTCCTGCTCTCCTCTTGCCCAGACAGCTTTTTCCAGACTGCTCCCCTCCGCAGCAGGGGACAAGGAAGAGGCAATGCTTTGTCTGGGGCAGCACTCACTTGTTCTGTGCCTGGACCAAGCAGCCCTCGTCACCAGGCAGTGTTGCTCTTCCGATGTCTAGCTGTTAAGTTAAATATTTGAGTTGGTTAAGCTCATTCTAAGATGCTTTCTTTCCACAGTAGGAATCTCACTTCTGCTTTAGAAATCGCTCAGATCATAAGGATACAGTTGCATCCACATCACTCATATAGACAATTCCAGCTGTTAGCACAGCAAACAAAAGGAACCCTTTGGTTTTGATCCTATAGGAAAGGCTAACGTGCTATGGGAAGGAGAGAGGCCACAAAGACCCAGATCATCTTTGGGCAGAAGCCACTTGGTGAGGCCATGTAAAACCTTTCAGTTCTAATCCTCTGTTCCCGCTGCTATAAAATTTGGCATCTGCAGTTCAGCCCCTAGAGGGCCCTGAAGGATAATAGTCCCCATCACAAAACAGCTGCACCTACATATTTGCCCTGATTTTGATGAGACAGTCAGCTTCTATTTGGAGAAGTCACAGCAAGCAGCACAGAAGCTATACGGCCTTCTTCTGGCCAGAAACAAAAAGCAAATGCTTTGAGGGAAAATGCTTCCTCTGAAATTCATCTGTTTGAAATTCGTTCAGTACAAGTATCCGTGTATGTGACCAAAACCTATATTAAGAAAAAAAACCCACACAAGCCACTAAAACATGTCCAGAGGGCTACTAGATACACATCTACTAGACGTACTCACGGTCAGTATTTTGTATGGAAAACTTTTGCATCAGTGGTTTTAACATCTTCAGTTAATCATTGCTTTCAAAGTGTTCAGTTATTTTTAGAGATAGGTTTCAAATTTAATAGCTATTTTTAGAGGGCAACAGTAACAATTTTTGGTTATTGTTTGCTTCCTCTCCCCGTTTGCTTCTTCTTCAATAAATAATTTAAAAAATTATGTCAAGTCATTAAGAAATAACAAAAGAAGAGGGTTAACTGTGTTGCCATACAGGAACAGAAAAGACTGAAATTACCTGAAGGTATTACTTAAGCAAGATATATTTATTCATGCACCGATGCCCCAGCCCCCTATACCCGTTTTTAAGCACAGCTTGCTCTTCTCCTTGTACAATTTTAAGGAACTGTCTGTATTTCTACTGACAGTGCTAACACGGCTGTAGAGGAATCAGACTAATGCGTTTTCTGTGCTGCTGTGCCTCCGAAGGTTTATTTTTGATTGTTAAGTCCCAGGAATTCAAAAAAGAAAAAAATAAATCACAATTATGCCTAATAGGTCTTTATTTCCAAACAGAAACTGCAAAAATATTCTAGTACAGAACAGGTAACAAGTGCAGAACTCTAAGTACGCGTTGTAACACTGAAATCATTGCCTCCTCGACAAAAAATCATTAGGCACTTAAAACATGAAAACAAAGTACAAATTAAATCAGCCGTAACAGATGACTCAACTATACAAATTCATCTTGGTTTTCTGTAATAAAAGCACACACACGGTTGAGGGGCTTTCCGTGCCTCCTCCTACATCCTGCGCAGAGACACTTCTATGTTACGCTGCACACATTCTACTCAGACAATATCAAGCTCACATCTGAAAACATAAACAAGTTCAGCGTTGGGAGAGTTTGAGAGACCCTTTTTGGAAACAGCAGGAGCAGAGCCTCCACTAGCAGCTTCACACAGAGCTTGGCGCGTGTGGAGGAGCACAATTATACCAGCTCCAAGGGTGGGCAAGCTCTGCTGGGACAATCGCATTGAAAAGAACGGGACCGAAATGAACGCAAACGAGTCACTTTTTAAGAGACAACGAAACCTCTGGGCAAGAGCTATCGTGGAAACTTGATGAAATTACATTTTGACACGTGGAACAGTCTCTGCAAAGAAAAACCATGGATTTGTCATCCCTTAGGAGCAGCCCCACGAAGAGCCTCTCCATTCCCCCGTCTTCTCACTTGCAGCTCTTGAACTAAATCAGAAGCAAAGGTGGCCTCTTAGACCCACCTGAGAAAGGTAAATCTAAGAAGCAAGCGTCCAAATGACTAACGAAAATACCCTTCTAGAAATCAAACAGACATACCCTTCAAAATTATTTTGGGTTGTATCCCTGTTTTTTTAGGTGACATTATGTAACTTTCCCCACAATTTACTCTGGTAGCATGAAATATAATTAATATTTTAAATAATTGTAACTAGGTACTCAAAGAAAAGAATATTAAGAATATTAACAGAAAGAACACACATGAAGCTAGTACATAAAATGTGCACATAAAGCCTGCAGAAATTTCAGCTCCTATACTTCAGTTTCACAGGAATTTAAGAATGGTTTTGTACCGCAGCACCAGGTACACTAGGGATAGAAAGAGGTGTCTTTAGGGAATCACCTCCCTGAGCCAGGGGAGGCTCAGCTGAGCCAAGAGCTGCCAAGCCCCGCGGGCTGCTGAGTTACAGACTTGCTGAGAACCATCTCCTCTTGCCAGGGACTGAAGTGAACGGCGAGGAATTCAAAATCTTATCTTGGGCTAGCCTATCCTGTCACAGCCATCAGCGTGCTTCGTTCTGATGGCCTCTTGCCACGACACCATGAATTAATTAGTGGTGGGATCATTAAATACTTCCATCACACAATTATCTGAGTTTTCTCCCACATGGGAGAAAAGCGGGATGAAAAAAAAAAGGACAAGACATGGCAGTACTTGGTGCAGCAACCAGCACCGATGGGGTATTGCCACAACAGGACTCAGTAGAAGACAGATTTAACTGTTTATGTGATGGCAATGCAAGGATGACACTCCTCACTTGTAACCCCAAGGGCTAAAAGAATATCCCAGTAGCTTCAGTACTTGCAATAAGGCAGCACAGCCGGACTGTGTTCACCCTTAAACCAGTATTGGCCAACACTTGCCACCGATGGGCAGTTTTCACCCCCACACAGAGGGGTGTGAGCTCAGTAAATTACCACACATCACAGTGATAAATTCAGTCACTGTGCAGAACTCATAGAATCACAGAATCTTCATGGTTGGAAGGGTCCTTTGAGATCATCGAGTCCAACCACAAAAAAAACCAAAAAACAACAACAACAACAAAAAAACAACCAAAAAAACCCCAAAAAACAACACACACCCCACATCCACCCACAAACAGACACAACCCAACAATCTCGGGCACTAGAGCATGCCCTGAAGTGCCACGTCTACACCTTTCTGATATCCCTCCAGGGATGGTGACTCCACCACCTCCCTGGGCAGGCCCTTCCAGGGCCTGACCACCCTCTCAGCAAAGTCATTCTTCCTCAGATCTCATCTAAACCTCCCCTGCCCCAACTTCAGACCATTTCCTCTGCTCCTGTCATGATTCCCTTGGGAGAAGAGGCCAATCCCCACCTCTCTACACCCTCCTTTCAGGGAGTTGGAGAGGGCAAGGAGGTCTCCCCTCAGCCTCCTCTTCTCCAAACTCAACATGCCCAGTTCCCTCAGCCTCTCCTTGTGTGACTTGTTCTCCAGACCCCTCCCCAGCTTGGTGGCTCTCCTCTGGACACGCTCCAGCCCCTCAATGTCCTTCCTGTAGTGAGGGGCCCAGAACTGAACCCAGCCCTGGAGGTGAGGCCTCACCAGTGCCCAGTCCAGAGGCACCATCCCTGCCCTGCTCCTGCTGGCCATGCTGTTCCTGACACAGGCCAGGACGCTGGTGGCCTTCTTGGCCACCTGGGCACACTGCTGGCTCATGTTCAGGCCAGCTGTCCACCCCTTTTTTGCTGGGCAGCTTTCCAGCCACTCTTCCCCCAGCCTGTAGCGTTGCCTGGGGTTGGTGTGACTGAAATGCAGGACCCAGCACTTGGCCATATTAAACCTCATCCCATTGGCCTTGGCCCATTGATCCAACCTGTTCAGGTCCCTCTGCAGAGCCTTCCGACCCTCAGGCAGATCAACACTCCCATCTAGTTTGGTGTCATCTGCAAACTTACTCAATCCTCTTATCTGGATCATCAATAAAGATATTAAACAAGAGTGGCCTTAGAACTGAGCCCTGAGGGACCCCACTGGTGACCACTGCCAATAAGATTTCACCCCATTAATCACAACTTCCTTGGCATGACCATCCAGCCAGTTTTTACCCAGTGAAGAGTACACTTGTCTACGCCATGATTCACCAGCTTCTCCAGGAGTACGCCGTGGGGGACCGTGTCAAAGGCCTTACCAAAGTCCGGGTAGACAAACTCCACAGCCTTCCCCACATAGAGAAGGTGGGTCACATGGTCATAGAAAGAGATCAAGTTGGTCAAGCAGGACCTCCCTTCCATAAACCCATGCTGGGTGGCCCTGATCCCTTGGCTGCCCTGCACTTGCCGTGAGAACTCCCTCAAGAGGATCCTCTCCATGCTCTTTCCTGGTACTGAGGTGAGGCTGACAGGCCTGTAGTTTCCCAGATCCTCCTCGGTCTATGGCAAACCCGAGCTAACACACTCCCGTTGGGTTAAGCTCTTGTCATAATGCTGGAATTGACTTGGTTCTGAGAGGCTGCCAGACTGGTGCCCCAGCTGGACCAGTGCATGGCATCCCAGTAACCCGGGGTCATTCCCCTGGTGGTTCCCAGAATAGGAAGGTATTCTCAAATGCGACTTTATGAAAGGAGACTGCTAAATAACAGAAATAGTTCCTTTGTTTAGCGGCATGCCGCAGATCATTTCATGCTCTACTTGACCGTTATGATAATTTAGAGCCAATTAAGAAATACTTAATATGAACATCATGAAAATTTGCAGCAAAGCTTAATAAATATAAATCTGCCCACTCGTCGTGCTCGGTAGCTGAAAGCCCCAAATGATCTCTCCAGAGTACATTGGCAGCTCAGCAGCCTTTGAAATTGGCTGTCCAGAAATTCAGAGAAGGATGATGTTTCTGCCTAAAATGACAGAATTCAAAATCAAGAGAGCCAGGCCCTTTGTGGCCGTTCTGGGCGAGCAGACACAGACGTGAAAGAGATCAGCTGCTGAAGTACCCCAAGATGAAGGATTACCTGGCTGTGAATATTTCAAGCTAAGACATATTTAACTAAAAAGGCCACATCTAAGAAGTCTACTGTTTGGGACCCTGCAACAAGTGGCTACCAGCTGTTGAAATAAAGCTGTTTCAGAATAAAGTACCCCACACAGTATTCCTTGGGCTTGATCTCACAGAGACGCCCATGCGTAAGTGGTTGTGCACTTTGTGGACCTGAAAGTCCCTAGAGGAGCTACTGCATGGATGTCCAGGATTTCACTCCACAGACTGGTCACAGAAGAGCAAGTGACAGGACAGAGGAAGATCTCCAGGTCATATGTTTTTTTAAACCTAGATTGCCAGGTCAGGCTGTAGCTCTACCACAGTGTCTGTCCAGGGTCAAGGTCTAAGTGATCACTTCACTCGGAACAAATAACTGATCCAGATACCTGCACTGGATAAAATCAAACAATATATAACAACAGAATATTTCCTTTCAATTTCTGAAGGGAATTTCCTTCCAGTATCTGAAGGGAGCTACAGGAGAGCTGGGGAGGGACTCCTTGTCAGGAAATGCAGTGACAGGACATGGGGTAACGGTTTTAAATTGGAAGAGGGAAGATTTAGATTAGATACCAGGAAGAAATTCTTTGCTGTGAGGGCGGTGAGACACTGGAACAGGTTGCCCAGAGAAGCTGTGGCTGCCCCATCCCTGGAGGGGTTCAAGGCCAGGCTGGATGGGGCTTGGAGCAACCTGGTCTGGTGGGAGGTGTCCCTGCCCAGGGCAGGGGGTTGGAACTCAATGATCTTTAAGGTCCCTTCCAACTCTAACCATTCTGTGATTCTACGATTCTATGAATATTTTGCTACTAATCTGGGGAGCCCAAAAAAGGCGCTAGGTCACCTAGATAATTTATTTTCTTTCCTGAATCGCACAGGACATAGAATTTCATCTCGACTCAGGCATGGCAGTATGTCAAACATCTCCCTACTGTGCAAAGGGAAGAGAACCAAAGTGAGATTAAAAGGGTGTCAAAGCCACCAGACCGCACGCAGCTCTGCTCTCTGTGGATGCTGTTTGAGAGGCTGGGACTAGCAGGGACCGAAAGCACAGGAGTGCTCAGCAGTGAGCAGGTTTATGCAAGTTTACTGCCAGTGACCTGAGAAACGGTATTTACCGTCAAAGGCTTTTTTTATAGTTATCATTTCTGAACCTGCTGGTGGAGAACAGCTTGTTAAAGTGACTGTAATGGGAAAGAGACACGGGGGAGCTATAATCACCCAGTGCAGGTACCGAGAGTCCTTAAGCGCATTCTGTCACCGCAGGGAGAGACAGGCTGCCACCCACCCGAGCAGCCACCATGCTGCCATTCCCCCTTGCAGGAACCCATCTCTCCCCTCTGACCAGGGAGACCCCCAGAGATGCTACCTTCCAGCCTTGACCAAGCTTTCAGGGCACCGCTGGGCCTGCCCAACAGCCACCAGATAACAACATGTCCCTACGGTCCCCCCTACATAGTCTCACCCCCTCCTTTTCTTTGATTCGGAAATTCTGTTGGCATCAACCAATTTTCTCTTTTTGTTGCCATGTTAGGTTTTTGCCAGTTCCGTGTGCCAAAACAGAACCACAGGATCTCAGAATCTTCATGGTCGGAAGGGACCTTTGAGATCATCAAGTCCAACCACAAAAAAAACGAAAAGAAAACAAAACAAACAAACAAACAAACAAACAAACCCCACAAACAGACACAACCCAACAATCTCGGGCACTAGAGCATGCCCTCAAGTGCCACGTCTACACGTTTCTGAAATCCCTCCAGGGATGGTGACTCCACCACCTCCCTGGGTTCCAAGGCCTGACCACCCTCTCAGCTGAGTGCAGGATCAGGCAGGAGCCGGAGATGGCGGGAGGGATGGAGGGGGAGCACAAGAACGAGGCCTGGACTGCAGAGCCAGCCATCACGGTGTTACTCCCTGCCCAGCGACA